ATATTTTGTAATTATAATTTAAATCTGACTCATTTTCAAATTGTTTGTCATAAATCAACATCTCAGGAAAATGTTATGGGGTTTCAAATCAAAATATGAATTCCTGTTATGAAACAGGATATCATTTCATGCATGTCCACTGTAGAGGACACCAGGACTGAAAGCATGTTTATTACACATTTTGGGAGACAAAATAATTGAATAGGAAAACAAATTACATATCAATATTCTTATGAAATATTAGATATTATTATGAAAATCTGGCTAATTACTACTCCCATCATTACACTTCTTTTTTCAACATGCTGTCCCAACAGCACTTTAATATGCAAATTAGATACAGTGTATAGATAGCATTATGCTTAATGGGAAAACCAGTTTATGGAATTTTTACACACATATTGCATAAAGCAAAATGGTATATCAAATCATTTTGTTATATATTTTATAACATAGTCGAGAACCATAATTAAAGTTAGTTATAAAAAAATCCTGAAACCTAAAAATTGATTGGTGATTTAAAAAAAAATCCCATTGTTTTTGCCTTTTCATGTCTACTCTTGTCATTTTATTTTTAGAAAAACGGAGTCCTGGTGTCCTCTACAGAGGACCTAGCATAACGTATGAATAAAATATAATTTTCCAAAAATGTTATTTTACAATTTTTTTCTTATGCTCTAAACAATGTAATGACATGAAAAAATACTAAATTCACAACGCTTTTTATTTCTGGTTCTCAGGAGGATATACATATATATATATATAGACCACCGAATGCTGTTTCTACACTTTCACGCGCAGTCATGCCAGTGGCGCGAAAACTTCTCAGATATCTAACAGTGTAAAGCGCTTTTCAAATTCTGTTATTGTACATTTACACGTAACATTTTCAAACCATTTTATGTCTAAATATACTCAGTCTCTTGTTAATATATGAGCTAACCTATTTTAGTCCTAAAATATTGCCAATATATAACAAACAAGTAAATATAAGTTGAACTAACTGCTTAGCTATATGGCTAAAAGAAATGTGGACCACGAACTATCTGTCATCACAAACTGAAACGGAAGATTTTGACCTGTTTCCGCCTTTCGCAAAGTAAGAGTTTCTGTCAGTATGTTCAAAATTAAAGCATGTTTTCTATTTTCATATGTTTCTCTATGGGCTACTGTCATTTATGGGTATAGTAATGTTGTTGTGCCATCTGCAGGCGATCAAAGGAAGTGACTCGTTTCAATGAGGAGACTGTGTTACTACCTGTGCAGCCTCAATATGGCGAGACTTTCTGGAAGACAGCTGTGCCAATATCATGGTAAACTTGTTAATTTAATAACCATGTCCCTATGCAGAAGTGACTCGTTTCAATGAGGAGACTGTGTTACCTGTGCAGCCTCAATATGGCGAGACTTTCTGGAAGACAGCTGTGCCAATATCATGGTAAACTTGTTAATTTAATAACCATGTCCCTATGCAAATGATTTTGAAAGTACTTCAGGACACTCTGAAGCTGACTGTGTCTGTATGTTTGTTGGCAGCGAGGACTTGTTCACATATGAACCCTTTCTTGCTTCAGCCCTGTACTCCAGTTCACCTGTTGGGATGGTGAGTAACTACATGTAGACTTTTTAATTTTTTTAATTTTGTGATTAATTTACTTAAATACATGTGATATGCATTCAGAAGTCTAGATTTGTGGAATTGCACACACAGGCCTGCCTTTAGTCAGGTGACCACACACAATTTGACCACTGGATTTACAGAAATAATTTCACATTTAAAGAGTGTTTTCTCAACATTGCATCCCTAATTAACTCATAGTTCAAACACATCCATTAATTATTATTTGAATTATCACTCAGTCATTTAACAATGTAATACTGAGTCTTAGAAATACTTTTGTCTATTGAACACGTTAAAATACACACATTCACACCATTTCATATTAATATGAAATGCAGTGATTTCCAAACATTTTTGTCAGCCGAAACAATTAAATAAAGTTGAGTTTTTATAGCAATACAAAAAGTAAACAATTGAACAACACGTTTGCATATGATTCAAGTGTTTTATTTGTGTTATTGTTTTATTTTAAAATTATTCATTTATTTTGATTGATCATTTTTATGGTTTAATTATTAGCTCTTCATAAACTCACAAACCCCTTCAGTTCCTTGATGAACCCTAGTTTGGAAAACTCTGAAGTACTGAAATGTTTAATGCACTTCATGCTGTCGCTAACAACTAACTGAATTTTTTTCATTCTCTTTGTATTTTTATATCAGTTTTAGGCTATCCTCTTCAAATGATAAACATCAAACGTTATCTAAAAACAATTATAATTGAAAGGTATCTAAGTGATCAAAAAGGAGTCAGATTATATTACCTAAAATGTGTCATGTAATATATTACGTTACTAACTACTAACTAGTATCTTAGAGTACTCTAGAATTGTATTTCCAACACTTTGTTATGGTACTGTCACATCAGCCGCTGTCAACTCATTCTTTCAGGTGAGCAGACATAAAAGAGTGAGCAGCCTGACTCATGAGAATCTGCCGCATCCTTCACAGCTGATGAGTAGAATGAGAAGATATCACCGACTACAGAAACACACACCAAGCGTTCTGCAACATATAGGAGAACTCAGGATGAAACAGCGCCATATAAATGAGTGAGAGAGAGAAGGATTGTGGGAGGAAAGGCGTGTTACGAATTAACAAATATGTATCAAATGAGTCTATTTTGCAATATTGCAGGCTGAAGGGGGACAAATGGTGGGGTGCCACAGCCGTGCCCAGGCCGGAGGACAGCAGCGGCTCACCTGAGGGTGGAGATGAGCAGCTTCTCGATCCTGCAGCTGGTGTGAGCTTTAGTGCTATGCTAATGGACAATCCTGATGTGACCATGACAATGCCTTATGAAGCTGCTCCCTCACCAAATCTTCTGGTAGCATTTAATTGATGAATGAAAGAAATCTTTTGCTTTAATCTGAAATTATATTTTGTGATTTTTTTTTCTTCTTCTACAGTGCTCATTTACAGAATATGAGCAGTTTCATGACCTTGCTCCAGGAGGGAACCCCATGATGGCGTTTGTTTCGGGAACAGCCCATAGATCGCTCTTGATGGCTGATAATGTGTGTGCCGCAGTGAATTCTGGGACATCTGATAGGATCCTCGGGAGAAATGATGATACGATGTCACTTTTTTACTAGTTTCTGCAGTTTGCGCCATGTTGGCCTATGATTCTACGATTTTTTTCCCTCTTAATATCTACTGTTGTTAAGTCTTAATGCAGTTTTATATGTAATTGTAATTGCTTTTCATGGTTGCAAATGTTTTAGTGTTTAGTCTGGTGTTTAGCGTTAATGCCAGACAATTGGTATAACATTTCAAGTGTGTGATGCTTGGCTTATCAATCTTAAAAAAGCTCTCAGGACCTGACCAAAGTTCAGTTCTGCTTAGTCATTTGCAAATAAAATGTATATGAATGGAAATACATGTTTACTGTATTGGCATTCATTATTGTCTGTATGAATTTGAATATGATTGATCAAACAGGTACAAAGAAACAGTAAATAATAAAATAAAACTGAACCCATTTCTTTTTTTTGTATACTTCTAGGCTATTTTTACAATTTTGTTTGTACCTATAGCATTACTAACCCTTACCATGGTAATGGTGCATAAATTATGCAGTACAATTGTGTTTACCTGTTTAAAGTATATATTACATGAATAGAAACATTTGGTTTCACTTTATTTTACAGTAAGTGCACTTATGTGCTTACCTAAAAAAGTAGGCTACTGGGTAATAACTACATGGGTTAGGTTAGGTTTAGGGGTAGGCTACGTTAGGTTATTTATTGCAATTATTATAATAAGTACGTACATGCGGAAAAGGACTGTAAAATAAAGTGCTCCATTTTTTTCAACATGTGGATTAATTAAGGACTTACAAACTCCCTATAGTAAAGCTGCTTTAATTTCATTATTTTCTCAGAATCCCTGTATATTCACTGGAATCTGGTATGGGATTTTTATTGGTTAGAACTTAATACAGTATTTCCATTAGGGAATGGGACGACCATGGGTTGACCGAATATTTTTTCTTTTCCACTCCCTCCTCTTTCTGATGAAAGTTGTGAAACCGAAAGTTAACTGATCAAAATTGAGAACGGAAATATTACCGCTATTTTCCGCATTCTAAACTATTCTGTCCCATCATATCAACGTTCAGGCTATAATGAACAATCTCAACATTCCTGCTTCTGTTTGGAAGGTGAAGGTGGAAGCGCTGAAGCGGTTTCTCGTATGTACTGTCGCCTGCACCTGATGATTATAGATATAGACGATAGATAGATAGATAGATATACAGTGGTGTGAAAAGGTTTTCCCCCCCTTCCTGTTTTTTTTTATTTTTTTGCATATTTGTCACACTTAAAAGATTCAGATCGTCAAACAAATTTTAATATTACACAAAGATAATGCACGTAAATGAAAAATGCAGTTTTTAAAAGATTATTTCTTTTATTAAGGGAAAAAAGCTGTCCAAACCTGCCTGGCCCTACGTGAAAAAGTAATTGCCCCCTAAATCTAATAACTGGCAATGAGTCTTTCACATCGCTGTGGAGGAATTTTGTCCCACTCTTCTTTGCAGAATTGTTTTAATTCAGCCACATTGGAGGGTTTTCGAGCATGAATGGACTGTTTAAGCATCTCAATCGGATTTAAGTCCGGACTTTGATTTGGCCACTCCAAAACCTTAATTTAGTTTTTCTTGAGCCATTCAGAGGTGGACTTGCTGGTGTGTTTGGGATCATTGTCCTGCTACATAACCCAAGTGCGCTTGAGCTTGAGGTCACAAACTGATGGCCGGACATTCTCCTTCAGGATTTTCTGATAGAGTGCAGAATTCATGGTTC